TATATATATATATAATTTAATGGAAATCTTGACTTTGACCATTATGAGTGACTGCAAAAATCACAGTGTATTTCGAATTATGGAAATGACATTTTTGGAACAAAAAACTTTTAAGTCTTGCTGCAAGACATATTTCACAGCTTGAATTTTATGTATCTTAAATACAATTAAATAATATTTTCAGACTTTTAATTTGACAGAATTTCATAATGATTGTAAAAGATTCACTATCTATTTTTTTATTTATCACATATCACATATTTAATCTCAAGCTTTTCACATACCCTGTTGTCTTCTTGACAAACAAATGCATTAACTTTTGAAAAATAAATAAATAAATTTAATTAATTGAAAAAAAAAATGTTAAAATGATATAAATTTTCCAATTTCCATCAGCTCTTTCAATTTTTGTGTCGAATTTGTTCATTTAGCAGATGTTTTATCCATGATTATTACATACTTAAGGTATGCAACATTATTAATCTGATTAATCCTAAGCAAGCTATATATATCTATATCTATATCTATCTATCTATATATATATTTCTGCCATGACAACTCTCGGAGAGTTTAGCATGGTAATATACATGGCAATGTCAATGTGTTTGGTCTTGGCAGAATAGATCTGCTAAGCTGCTGCTGCAGAGCAAGTACAGAGACTTGCTACTGCCAGTACATGAGTGTGTAAGAAATACTGCTGCTGCACATATAACATATATGAGACAACCTCCCAACAAAGCAGGAGACACAGAAATGGACAATACAGCCAAATAAATGCATGTCACTGAGTGTAAGAATATAAAACTGCTGCATCAGCAGACATGCATATATTCACACATATGGAACGAATGAAAACAGGTCAGAATAGAACAAATACCCCCAAACAAGAATATCTATTGCCAAGACATATGTACTGCTGCATAAACACATTGCATTACACCAAATACACAACATAATGTTCTTTTTAGCAACGTCATATGACCCCTTTAAAGAGCTTGACAATAATGCTTGTCTGCTTGTTAGTGAATGGTGACCAACTTCAAGCTTAATGTTCTGAGGGCATATGACAGGGTTTGATAAAAAAAAAAAATAAATTATCTATATCTATATCTATCTATCTATATATATATTTCTGCCATGACAACTCTCGGAGAGTTTAGCATGGTAATATACATGGCAATGTCAATGTGTTTGGTCTTGGCAGAATAGATCTGCTAAGCTGCTGCTGCAGAGCAAGTACAGAGACTTGCTACTGCCAGTACATGAGTGTGTAAGAAATACTGCTGCTGCACATATAACATATATGAGACAACCTCCCAACAAAGCAGGAGACACAGAAATGGACAATACAGCCAAATAAATGCATGTCACTGAGTGTAAGAATATAAAACTGCTGCATCAGCAGACATGCATATATTCACACATATGGAACGAATGAAAACAGGTCAGAATAGAACAAATACCCCCAAACAAGAATATCTATTGCCAAGACATATGTACTGCTGCTGCTCCAAAGAGCCATGTGAACCACATGTATTACTATCTACTTGTGCCTGGGCTACCATGCCGACCAGCTTAACACTATTGGCCTATGGCTATACTCTGTATGCAGCTGAATCAACCGCACACTCAGCACAGCTACAAAAACATTGACCTAAGAAATAAGCAAAGTGAACATTGAGGTTAAGCAGCTAATATGGCAAACCCGGTATAAATGCATTCAAACGGGAATGCTTATTTCATTTAAGCCTGTTCTCATGTTCTTAGCTTGTCGGCATGTCCTCAGAACAATTACAGACTGCTTGCTGCTGCAGCTGTATAAACACAGATATGTAAATGCTACTGCTTATACTTATTATTTATCTCCTGCATACGAATGTAAGACTGTTAAACACAACACTTAGTTTAAGATTGTTTATGGTTGCTCATTTACAAATTGATTTGGCAGACCACACAATATGTGCACAGTCATATGCATAAAAAAGTATTAACTTATCTTAGATGTTGATTTCAGATGCTTTCTGAAGTGCGCTGCAACTGCTACAGCGAGCACTAGCCGAGTATTTGAATGTTTGAGCAGCAAGCTCATTGCCTCCTGATACAAAAAGAACCAATCAGCTGTGCCACGTGAATAATGATGCCATCTAAAGTTTCATGACAGAACTTTGTGCACACACACACACACACACACACACACACACATACAGTATATACAGTATACATACATACATACATACAAAGTTTTGATGGCGCTGGCTGATAGATTCTAACTCAATCTGATATAATGACATCATTATCAGTGTTTCCAGGGCCACGGTTTTCCACGGAATGCGATTTGTACTGGTGGAATCCCCCCCATTGGACATACTTCCAAGACGTAGAATCTGTAATTCTGTTCCAAGACGTAGAATCTGCAATTCTGAAGTACAGTTAATATCCACAATGGTGCACTGACTGACTGCCCACACATACACCTTAAAACATTAGATTAATCCGCGCTGAGGAGCCGTACCAATGCACAACCCACGTAAAGATGATAATTCCGCAAATAACTGCAATTGCAGGTTTCAAACAGAGATGGCGACAAAGAGGTAAAACTTATGCATTGCAGCTTTAAATTATGATATTGTGCTTCAGGTGGGTACTGGGGTTCTTATCTCATCAGCTTGCAACGTATATGTGTACACATAGTGCGCGTTCTAACTAGTGTTAAGCCAGTCGGCATGGTAGCCCAAGCACACACAGATAGTAATATATGCAGTTCACATGGCTCTTTGGAACAGCAGCAGTACTTTTATCTTGGTGGTAGATCTGCTTGTTTGGGGGGTGTTTTGTTCTATCCAGTCCTGTTTTCATTCTTTCTATGTGTGTGGATATATGCATGTCTGCTGATGCAGCAATTTTATATTCTTACACTCAGCGACATGCATATATTGGCTTGTATTGTTTGTTTCTTGTGCAGCAGCAGTATTTCCTACATGCTCACAGCAGCATGTCTGTGGCCAACGTGATCTCATGATAATTCGTATGTATTTTACGTAAAATGTGGTTCTATACAACGTACATTTACTTACGTTTTTACAGGCACTAAAACATAGAATACTGATGTATTTTCAGCATCTAAACGTAAAAATGCTTACGTATTTTCAGCATTTAAATGTACGAAACTGACGTATTGATGACACCTAAAAATTTATCCTTATGAATATTG